GATTTCTCTATTTCATAGATAAACCAGAATAATTGTTTTTGAGCAATTCTCCAATCTCTTTCTTTTCGATCTAGTTCTCTATAAAAATATAAGGAAATTTTACGACAATCATTTAAAAATTTTGAATCAGAATAAATTTCCAAAGTTTCTAGCAAGCAACAAAATTTAATAATTTTTATCTCTGACCTATACTTATTTGAAATTTGAAATTTTAGAAAAGAAAATTGTCAGATTGGAATGCCAAATATGTCACTAGATATATTAAAAGTTATGCTTGGTCAAGATTGTAAACATGAATACATATTTGAAGGTTGCAAACTCGGACACGCCTTTGAAGGTTTGTTTAAATAGCTACTGATCCACGAAGTATACACAAAAATAAAAAATAATTCTTTCTTCGTTATAGATAATCCAGTAAATGTTTGTTCATGTATTAAAGTTGATTTGAATGACTCTGAACATATACCAGAAGATACGTTATCGTACCTGACACAATTTGCTTCAGAACGTTCTCATATTTTGTCAAAATACGACCTTGATTCTTCGCCATCAACCATTCACAAGTAAATAATATTTTTTAGAATTATTAAATAAATATCGTAAATGATATAAATCTTCTTATTAACAGGACATTATGCATCGAGCTCATAACCGAGCGTGAATTCTTTAACACACTCTTAAAAGAAATATCACAATCAAATTATCTTCAAAAGCAAAATAAAGAAAATTTTCTTACTGATCTTCAAAACTTTCAAAAATCATTAATTCAAGTGGTAGGCTTTATTATTATTTATTACCATCACTAATCATATTGTGGCAAGATTGATAAGAAGTCATCATTTTATAAAAAATAGTCATCACCTTATAAAAAAGATATTTATATCTGGCGTCAAATATTTCAAATTTATATAAAGGCAGAGATTTTTATTGGAAATACTGAACTAGATCGAAAAGAAAGAGATTGGAGAATTGCTCAAAAACAATTATTCTGGTTTATCTATGAAATAGAGAAATC